GAGGATCACATCAAATGTGGACTCACAAGATTCCACCCAATGTATCTCAAAAATAGGAAATGCAATCACAATCTATGCAATAATGTGTTTTACTTCAAAGTAGTCATCTTCATACAGGATTAAAGCAGTAAGCGACAGCACAGTTTTGAACCTAACCATGTTCTTCACATGCAGCTTGATGAAGAACAAGGTATGTTTGAAATTGCTGTTGTTTACTGCTTTAATCCTGTATGAAGAGGACTACTTGAAGTAAAAGAATTATTGCAAACATTGAGATTGCATTTCCTATTTCCTGAGATAGAGATATACAGTGCCTTGAAGAAGTATTCATACCCCTTGAAATATTCCACATTTTGTCATGTTACAAACAAAAACGTATGTGTATTTTATTGGGATTTTATGTCATAGACCAACACAAAGTGGCACATAACTGTGAAGTGAAAGGGAAATGATAAATGGTTTTCAAAATGTTTTACAAATAAATATCTGAAAAGTGTGGCGTGCATTTCTATTCATCCCCCTTTACTCTGATAGCCCTAACAAAAATCTAGAGAAAGCAATTGCCTTCAGAAGTCACCTAATTAGTAAATAGAGTCCACCTGTGTTTAATTTAATTAGTGAACAGCATCATGAAAGCCAAGGAACACACCAGACCGGTCGGGGATAAAGTTCTGGAGAAGTTTAAAGCAGGGTTAGGTTATAGAAAAAATCCCAAGCTTTGAACATCTCACAGAGCACTGTTCATCATCTGAAAATGGAATAAGTATGGCATAACTGCAAACCTACCAAGACATGGATGTCCACCTAAACGGACAGGCCGAGCAAGGAGAACATTAATCAGAGAAGCAGCCAAGAGGTCCATGGCAACTCTGCAGAGATCCACAGCTCAGGTGGGAGAATCTGTCCACAGGACAACTATTAGTCGTGCACTCCACAAATCTGGCCTTTATGGAAGAGTGGCAAGAAGAAAGCCATTGTTGAAAGAAAGCCATAAGAAGTCCCGTTTTCAGTTTGTGAGAAGCCATGTGGGGGACACAGCAAATGTGGAAGAAGGTGCTCTGGTCAGATGAGACCAAAATTGAACTTTTTGGCTTAAAAGCAAAACACTACGTGTGGTGGAAAACAAAAACGGCACATCACCCTGAACACATCATCCCCACCGTGAAACATGGTGGTGGCAGAATCATGTTGTGGGGGTGCTTTCATTGAGTAGGGACAGGGAAGCTGGTCAGAGTTGATGGGAAGATGGATGGAGCCAAATACAGGGCAATCTTAGATAAAAACCTGTTAAGAGTCTGCAAAAGAGCGGAGACGGGGCAGAGGTTCACCTTCCAGCAGGACAACGACCCTAAACATACAGCCAGAGCTACAATGGAAAGGTTTACATCAAAGCATATTCCTGTGTTAGAATGGCCCAGTCAAAGTCCAGACCTAAATCCAATTGAGAATCTGTGGCAAGACTTGAAAATTGCTGTTCACAGATGCTCTCCATCCAATCTGACAGAACTTGCAAAGAAGAATGGGCAAAAATGTCACTCTCTAGATGTGCAAAGCTGGTAGAGACATCCCCAAAATGACTTGCAGCTGTAATGGCAGTGAAAGGTGGTTCTACACAGTATTGACTCAGGGGGGCTGAATACAAATGCACGCCACACTTTTCAGATATTTGTAAAGAATTTTGATAACCATTTATCATTTTCCTTCCACTTTACAACTATGTGCCACTTTGACAAAATTTCAAGGGGTTTTTAAATCTTTGCAATTTATTAAAAAAAAAAAAAAAAAAAAAAACACATGTACATAAGTATTCAGTCTTTGCCATGACACTCAAAATTGAGCTCTGGTTCATCCTGTTCCCACTGATCATCCTTGAAATGTTTCCATAACTTGATTGGCGTCCACCTGTGGGAAATTCAGTTGATTGGATATGATTAGGAAAGGCATAAACCTATCGAAGGTCCCACAGTTAACAGTGCATGTCAGAGCACAAACCAAGCCATGAAGTCCAAGGAATTGTCCTTAGACCTCCGAGACAGGACTGTATCAAGGCACAGATCTGGGGAAGGGTACAGAAACATTTCTGTAGCATTGAAGGTCCCAATGAGCACAGTGGCCTCCATCATCTGTAAATGGAAGAAGTTTGGAACCACCAGGAATCTTCCTAGAACGTTCTGCCCGGCCAAAATGAGCAATCGAGGGAGAAGGGCCTTAGCCAGGGAGGTAACCAAGCACCCGATGGTCACTCTGAAAGAGCTCCAGCGTTTTTCTGTGGAGAGAGGAGAACCTTCCAGAAGAACAACCATCTCTGCAGTACTCACCCAATCAGGCCTGTATGGTAGAGTGGCCAGATGGAAGCCACTCCTCAGTAAAAGGCAAATGGCAGCCCGCCTGGAGTTTGCCAAAAGGCACCTGAGGAACTCTCAGACCATAAGAAACCAAATTCTCTGGTCTGATGAAACAAAGATTGAACTCTTTGGTCTCAATGCCAAGCGTCCTGCCCGGAGGAAACCAGGCACATCTCACCACCTGGCCAATACCATCCCTACAGTGAAGCATGCCACCACGGCAGCGTCATGCTGTGGGGATGTTTTTCAGCGGCAGGAAATGGGACACTAGTCAGGATCGAAGGAAAGATGAATGCAGCAATGTACAGAGACATCCTTGATGAAAACCTGTTCCAGAGTGCTCTGGACCTTAGACTGGGGCGACGGTTCATCTTTCAACAGGAGAACGACCCTAAGCACACAGCCCACATAACAAAGGAGTGGCTATGGGCCAACTCTGTGAATGTCCTGAAGTGGCCAAGTCAGAGCCCAGACTTGAACCTGATTGAACATCTCTGGAGAGATCTGAAAATGGCTGTGCACTGGCGCTCCTCATCCAACCTGATGGAGCTTGAGAAGTACTGCAAAGAAGAATGGGAGAAAGTGCCAAAAAATAGGTGTGCCAAGCTTGTAGCATCATACTCAAAATGACTTGAGGCTGTAATTGGTGCTAAAGGTGCTTCAGCAAGTATTGAGCAAAGGCTGGGAATACTTATGTACATGGGGTTTTTTTTTTTTCATTTTTTATTGTTAATAAATTGCAAAGATTTGAAAACAATCTTCTCTCACATTGTCACTATGAGGTCTTGTTTGTAGAATGTTGAGGAAAAAATGAATTTAATCCATTTTGGAATAAGGCTGTAATATAACAAAATGTGGCAAAAATTAAGCGCTGTGAATATTTTCTGGATGCACTGTATACACACCTCCACAGTACCCCAGCCTCATGCCTGTCCTCCTCATACCTGTACTACAGTATACACACCTCCACAGTACCCCAGCCTCATGCCTGTCCTCCTCATACCTGTACTACAGTATATACACCTCCACAGTACCCCAGCCTCATGCCTGTCCTCATACCTGTATACAGTATATACACCTCCACAGTACCCCCCCAGCCTCATGCCTGTCCTCATACCTGTACTACAGTTTATACACCTCCACAGTACCCCAGCCTCATGCCTGTCCTCCTCATACCTGTACTACAGTATATACACCTCCACAGTACCCCAGCCTCATGCCTGTCCTCCTCATACCTGTACTACAGTATATACACCTCCACAGTACCCCAGCCTCATGCCTGTCCTCCTCATACCTGTACTACAGTATATACACCTCCACAGTACCCCAGCCTCATGCCTGTCCTCCTCATACCTGTACTACAGTATATACACCTCCACAGTACCCCAGCCTCATGCCTGTCCTCCTCATACCTGTACTACAGTATATACACCTCCACAGTACCCCAGCCTCATGCCTGTCCTCCTCATACCTGTACTACAGTATATACACCTCCACAGTACCCCAGCCTCATGCCTGTCCTCCTCATACCTGTACTACAGTATATACACCTCCGCAGTACCCCAGCCTCATGCCTGTCCTCCTCATACCTGTACTATACACCTCCACAGTACCCCAGACCCATGCTTGTCCTCATACCTGTACTATACACACCTCCGCAGTACCCCAGCCCCATGTCTGCCCTCCTCATACCTGTACTATACACACCTCCACAGTACCCCAGCCTCATGCCTGTCCTCATACCTGTACTATATACACCTCCACAGTACCCCCCTCATGCCTCATGCCTGTCCTCATACCTGTACTATATACACCTCCACAGTACCCCAGCCTCATGCCTGTCCTCATACCTGTACTATATACACCTCCACAGTACCCCAGCCCCATGCCTGTCCTCCTCATACCTGTACTATATACACCTCCACAGTACCCCAGCCTCATGCCTGTCCTCATACCTGTACTATATACACCTCCACAGTACCCCAGCCCCATGCCTGCCCTCCTCATACATGTACTATATACACCTCCGCAGTACCCCAGCCCCATGCCTGTCCTCCTCATACCTGTACTATATATACCTCCACAGTATCCCATCATGCCTGTCCTCCTCATGCCTGTACTATATACACCTCCACAGTATCCCATCATCATGCCCTGTGCTCCTCACACCTGTACTATATACACCTCCGCAGTACCCCAGCCTCATGCCTGTCCTCCTCACACCTGAACTATATACACCTCCACAGTATCCCATCATCATGCCTGTCCTCCTCATACCTGTACTATACACACCTCCGCAGTACCCCAGCCCCATGCCTGTCCTCCTTATACACACCTCCGCAGTACTCCAGCCTCATGCCTGTACCCCCCTCGGCTCCCTTCCTCCCCCATGCTGGCCATGCAGTGTGTACGTGTTGTGCTCCCTCGTGACTTCCTCCCGCCTCCATGCCCCTTGCTATGGATTCTACAGTCCTCCCGCCATACACCCTGACAGGTCCCATCTGCCGCTCTGCTTGTCGTTGCCATGACGCCGGCTCACACCCCGAGCACTGTCTGTAGATCTCCCGGCTCCCCGGACTGTGTCACCTTCCCGTCCAGGAGAGGGAGAGCTCCGGGCGGAGCCAGGTTGGCAGTTCTAGTCCGGCCTGTACTCACCACCACACAGGGACTCGCCATGTCTGCTGATCCGGGCAGGAAGTCAGCGGCTGTGGAGGGAGATGTGCAGCACCTGATCGGCGTCCTGTGTACAGTACAGCAGGCCGGAGCTCACACACACATGGCCTGCCCGGGGCCCGCCCGCTAAGGAGGATGTGGGGTGGAGCTCGGCCCATTCACCTCTATGGGAGAGTCAGCAGGCACACCATCACCCCACCGTGCGCGGCCTCTCACATGGCTGAGCGGTCAGAGGTGACATCATACACCACGCATGACTCGGCTCGGGGCTACCTGCAGCCATGATATTGGACCTTGGGAAATAAAGGGGTTAAAGCGGAGCTGAAGGGTGATTGTTGCACCCTCCCATCTGCCCCTTTAAGATGCAAGAGCTGCTGATAGAGATGTTCACATGAAAAGGCGAGAACTACCCCGCCCCGCCGGCAGTACCGCCACCAGACGCCGCTCCTTCATGGTAGTAGGGATGTGCAGCATGGGCGCCGGAACCATGTGCAGTGCATTTGTGGCGCATTATTCTGGGAGTTGTGGGGTGGCATGGAGTCCTAATATCACCTCCTCACCACATGCCAAACACCTGAAAAGAGATCCAAATGTAGATTGCTATTCAGAGGAGCAGCAGTTTAGATACGGGTCTAAATAGCTTAATATCACTGGTGGACTCTTTATTGCAGAAGGAACATGCTATTTCTAGGCACACAAAGGTGTTTAGGTCATCTGCAGTGACTTTAGTTCAGCTCTACACAAGGACATGGAGAATAGAACTGCATCCAGAGTGCCCCGATCAGACCAGAGAATAGAACTGCATCCAGAGTGCCCCGATCAGACCAGAGAATAGAACTGCATCCAGATCCAGAGTGTCCCGATCAGACCGTCGGAGTATAGAACTGCATCCAGCGTGCCCCGATCAGACCGTCGGAGTATAGAAGAATTTCATCGAGTATGTGCCCCGATCAGACCGTCGGAGTATAGAACTGCATCCGGCGTGCCCCGATCAGACCGTCGGAGTATAGAACTGCGCTCGGCGTGCCCCGATCAGACCGTCGGAAGTATAGAACTGCGCTCGGCGTGCCCCGATCAGACCGTCGGAGTATAGAACTGCGCCCGGCCTGCCCCGATCAGACCGTCGGAAGTATAGAACTGCATCCGGCGTGCCCCGATCAGACCGTCGGAGTATAGAACTGCGCTCGGCGTGCCCTGATCAGACCGTCGGAAGTATAGAACTGCGCTCGGCGTGCCCCGATCAGACCGTCGGAGTATAGAACTGCGCCCGGCGTGCCCCGATCAGACCGTCGGAAGTATAGAACTGCATCCGGCGTGCCCTGATCAGACCGTCGGAGTATAGAACTGCGCTCGGCGTGCCCCGATCAGACCGTCGGAAGTATAGAACTGCGCTCGGCGTGCCCCGATCAGACCGTCGGAGTATAGAACTGCGCCCGGCGTGCCCCGATCAGACCGTCGGAGTATAGAACTGCATCCGGCGTGCCCCGATCAGACCGTCGGAGTATAGAACTGCGCTCGGCGTGCCCCGATCAGACCGTCGGAAGTATAGAACTGCGCTCGGCGTGCCCCGATCAGACCGTCGGAGTATAGAACTGCGCTCGGCGGCGTGCCCCGATCAGACCGTCGGAGTATAGAACTGCGCTCGGCGTGCCCCGATCAGACCGTCGGAGTATAGAACTGCGCTCGGCGTGCCCCGATCAGACCGTCGGAAGTATAGAACTGCGCTCGGCGTGCCCCCCGATCAGACCCGGAGTATCAACCGTGCCCCGATCAGACCGTCGGAGTATAGAACTGCGCCCGGCGTGCCCCGATCAGACCGTCGGAGTATAGAACTATGCCCGGCGTGCCCCGATCAGACCGTCGGAGTATAGAACTGCGCCCGGCGTGCCCCGATCAGACCGTCGGAGTATAGAACTGCGCCCGGCGTGCCCCGATCAGACCGTCGGAAGTATAGAACTGCATCCGGTGTGCCCCGATCAGACCGTCGGAGTATAGAACTGCGCCCGGCGTGCCCCGATCAGACCGTCGGAAGTATAGAACTGCATCCGGTGTGCCCCGATCAGACCGTCGGAGTATAGAACTGCGCTCGGCGTGCCCCGATCAGACCGTCGGAGTATAGAACTGTGTCCCCAGACCGAACTGTGTCCCCGCAGAGCGGAACCGCGTCCAGCGTGCCCCGATCGGACCGCCACAGAGCGGAACCGCTCCCGGCGTTTCCCGATCGGACCGCCGCAGAGTGGAACCGCGCCCGGCGTTTCCCGATCGGACTGCCGCAGAGTGGAACGCGCGCCCGGCGTGCCCCGATCGGACCGCCGCAGAGTGGAACCGCGTCCGGCGTGCCCCGATCGAACCGCCGCAGAGTGGAACCGCATCCAGCGTGCCCCGATCAGACTGTCGCAGAGTGGAGAGGTGCAGAAAAATGTTCTTTTCTCCCCACCGTGGCTCAGCTGCTGTGCATAGAAATGAATGGAATGTCACTTTGTGACAATTTCAATAAAGTAAGCACCCCATTAACCACTTGCCTACCGGGCACTTTTGCCCCCTTCCTGCCCAGGCCAATTTTCAGTTTTGCTGCACTTTGACAATTGTGCAGTCATGCAACACTGTACCCATGTGACATTTGTATCATTTTTTTCACACAAATAGAGCTTTCTTTTGGTGGCATTAAATCACCACTGGAGTTTATTTTTTTTGCATTATAAACGAAAAAAAGCAAAACATTTGAAAAAAAAAAATAGTTTTTCTTTGTTTCTATTATAAAATTTTGTAATCCGCTATAGTTTCTCCTTCACTGATGTGAGTTGATGCACTGCACTGATGACCACTGATAGGCTGCACTGATAGGTGCCACTGCTGGGCATTTTTTTGGGGCTGCACTACTCAGTGCAGATGTCCTCTCTGACACTTGGTGGTTATCAGCAGTACTTTCCTACCGCTGTTACAGCGTGAGGAAAGTGCTGCCGATAACCAGCAACTGTATTTACTTTGTGATCAGCTGTGTCACTGGACACAGCTGATCACGTGGTAAAGGGCTGCTGTGATTGGCCTTTTACATTGTCATGCACGCCTCTGAGGGCTTGTTTTGGGAGGAAGTCATATGACCCTCTCCCAGAACTGGACAACCAGGCTGTAGCCGTCATTGAGCTGTAGCCTGGTTGTCAAGTGGCTAAACAAGAAGTTATAAACCTGAAATAAAAGGGGTTTGTTAAATAAATGCAAAATATCTTTAGACAATAGTAGGCGGCGGCTCTTTATTGGGGTTAAAAGCACATGTATACATTTCTTAACCACTGGTCCTCCTGAGGATCTACCCCCCTTCCTGACCAGGCTATTTTTTGCGTTACTTTAACTGACAATTGTGCGGTTATGTAACGCTGCGCCCAAATGAAATATAAAGCCTTTTTTTCCCACGAATTGAGCTTTTTTTCGGTGGTATGCAGTTTTTATTTTTTGCACAAAAAAAAAAGACCAAAAATTTTGAGAAAAAAATAATTTTTGACATTTTGCTATTAAACCTGTCCAGAAAAAAATGTAAAAAATCAAATTACGTCAAATTTTAGGCCAAAATGTATTCTGCTACTTGTGTTTGCTAAAAAATCCCAATACATGTAAATTAATTGATTTACATGAACGTTATAGAGTTTACAAATTGTGGAATACTGGAATTTTTTCTTTTTTTTTTTTTACTACTACTAATGGCGGCGACTTATAGCAGGACTGCGGCGGGCATTCTGACACTGGGGGGAACTAGCTTGGTGTCACTGACATCCCCAGTGACACCAATACAGTGATCAGTGCTAAAAAAAAAAAAAAGCACTGACGCTGTACTAATGGCACTCAGCAGGAAGCGGTTAACATGAGTGGCAATCAAAGAGTTAACTGTGCTGGGAGTGTTTTACTGGGGGCCGGTGTGTTGGTGCTTCACTGTAAGGACACTGCTCTGGATGGCAGTGTGCCCGAGCTGACAGGGAGGACGACTGTTAGTAAACAAAGCAGCCCTCCTCCTCCTCATCGGAGATCCCCAGTAATCACCGGCTTTGACCCGATGATTGACGGCCGCAAATGGTGGCGCGGGTAGAGCTCACGCGCGCTCCCTACCCAGAACTGCAAAATCATGTATACGTGATTTTGCGCACCGCTGCCGCCTTGTAGCGGTATATCTGCTATAGGCGGCGGGGATGTGGTTAATAAACTTCCTTTAATGCCTGTTCACTCTGATGCAGTGTGGGATTCACAGTGATTACTGTGCGTTTCCCGCATCACAAATGCACTCCATTCCTGCAAACCACTGTGGGTGTCTGTTAATGACACCCCAAAAATGGATTGCAAAACAATTGGATCACATGGTTGTGAACACCCATGCAATCCAATTCCAGTGTGGGGAAAAGAAAGGTGCCTGCACCCTTTATGCAGGTGCAGTGCAATTCAAGCCATAAAAAATGGCTTTGTGACAGCTGAGAATCTGCCAGGAAAAACCAAAGGGGAACCTGAAACACAAAAAACGAGAGGCAAGAAACTGCCCAGTACCAGAAAAGCCTAGCAACAACTAAACAAGCCTTCATTTCGCTTTTTACCAAGGGGTGCCAGGGCTTGCAGTCCCATGGGGCCACTTCATATGTTTGTGGCCCTGCCATATGAGCATTCCCTGTTCACTCCTGCGCTACCTCGGCACTCACTGTCAGAGGTTGCTTCCGGGCTATGACTCCGTGGTACAGAAGTATGCTGAGTGAACAGGGAATCTCTGTCACACTATTAACATTTTTTTTCTTTTACTTCACCACCAGATAGGCTAGATCCGGCCCTGACACTCATACGGACATCATCCCCAAATGCTAATACCGATTGTTTTAGGGCCGGTTCACATTATAGGAATGCAGTCCAAATGCATTTTTGTCACATTTTTGATGTGTTCCAGTGCGTTTTTGATGCATTCCAGTTAATTTTTTCCTCTTTTACTGCAATTTAAATAGGGACATGTGCGTTTTTGGTATGTTTTTAATGTATTTTACCACGTTCCAGTACAGTTCTGTGCAGAAAAAATGCGGCCTGTTCTACATTTTTTTTCAGGACCTGGAAAGCACTGGACTGCAAGCACTGATGTGAACTATGACATTGACAACCATATAACCTACTTTCTGTGCGTTTTGGATGCAGAAAA